AACATTTTATCAATAAAATTAAAACTCTAATAGAGAAAGGCAATCCATCTTATATTGATGTAAAATAAACATTAATGCTGTTCTGGAAGTGTTATCTCACTTTGCAAACTCCATAGGCATTAAATTACAAAAAATAAGTAAAATAAATAATTATTTGGAATTATTACTATTTAAAATGTTGGCTAATGGCGTTTAGCTAAAGCTTTTTTATAATAATAATTTTTAGAAAATATATCAAATAGTAATTTCATATACGTCGTTTTCTTACACCACGAAGGATTTGTATTGGTCAACAATACGTTCTTATTAATTTTTTAAGATGTTAAAAAAAAAAAAATCGAAAAAGTTAGGATTGCAGAATATGTTAGATCTAATAAGATAAAATATAATTTCTATTTTCCTACCTCAAACATCTTTTCAATCGAACAGTTCAATCCATGTCTTAAATTATTAGACAATAGGAGACATCCCGATAATAAGTGGTCGAGAGAACTCCTGGAACACTAAATTTTAGTGATTTTATTTTTTAAAATTAATTTCATAATTCTATACATCAGAAACAAATATAAACATGTAAATATGAAATAATTAAATAAAAAATCCAACATCAAATACGCATACTATACTTCGTTTAATTATATATATAATTAAATTAAATATTCCCACGAGAACGAATTGGTCGGGGGAGGAGGTGCGGTCAAATAAATAATACATTTTAAAAAATAGTATTTTTAATTGTTACGCCGACATTTCGACCCACCTTGCAGGTCTGCGAGACCAAATTTTGAAGACCTGCAGGGCGGGTCGAACAATCAAAAATATTATTTTTAAAAAATGAAGTATTTACTTGACCGCATCTCCCGACCAACTCCTTCTCATATTATATCACGGTCAACCATCTCTACATCATTATATATATTCCAACAATTTTAAATTACCATTTTCAATCACCTTTAATACTAATTCTCAATACCATTACGTGTATACAATAAAATGCATGCTCAGTGACTCTGCATTGTGTAGCCTTAATTCTACAGTGGAATCGTCCAAATGTTCCATTTAATACTTCATTTTTTAAGTCCAAAAGTTGTAGTTTCCATCAAAGTAGGTTATCACGAATATTAATATATGAAACATAATCGGAATTAAAGTAGTTTTTTAAAAATTCTAATAAGGTTTCTGGAGAGTAGGCGTAAATAAATTTCGTAATTTTGTAGCTAAAACGCATCATCCGTCTTTATTTTCCCCATTTACAATAATTAAAATTTTGCAAAAAAAATTAATTAATTACAATTAATTTAATCAAATTAAATTAATCTAATCAACGATTAGAATTACAATGAATGAAAATCGGAAGAGACAGACAGTTAAAGAAACGGGTACGAATCAGGTAGATATAATATATTTTGAAAAGGTGAATATTGGAACCTTATTTACTTATCAATGACTGAACGGCTTTTAAAGTATAATAAGAATGACCTATTATCCTAAGCTAGAAATAAATAGTAAAACTCACGGTTTGGTATATAATATTTAAACGAGTTTTTTTCAATTATTTGCTATTCTTTAATATGACATGTAGGATTTTTGAAAGTAATGGTGATTCATCTACCCTTATGGAGGATGATTCGGTAAATCTAACTTGAATCTTGAGAGTAAACAGAGAAGGGTCGATATTGGAGAATGTAGGGCTGGGAAAATCGATAAGAAGAGTCGAGTAAAGATATACTGTGCCTACATCTTCTAGTTGGGGAAAGTCCATCGGTCTTCGCTCTCTCACCCCCCCCCCTCTCCCCATTCGCTAATTCTCTGTAAATAACGTTAATGCTTCATCGATTCCGCCTCCTATTGATCCTTCTGTTTGTCCTATAGATACAATAGAAATAACGGTTATAGAAATCACATGAAAAATAAAAACAGCTTCATAATAATAATTATGTTATAGACTGTTTGTAAAATATCGGAAAATATGTGAATAATTAATTAAATATCTGCTCATATAAGATCAATTTGCATTTAATTATTTTTATCTATTATTTTTCAAAGGTGTTTTTTTTTTTTTTTTGTCGCTGCGCAATTTCTTCGTTAATTCTTCATCAAATCCTATGATTGAGCCTTCATTGAAGAGCTTCTTCTTTAGGTAGGAAAAATAGTCCCATTTTCCCAAAATTTCAGAAAAAAAAGTTATGAAGGAAAAGAAACTTTATTTACGAGCACAGGCGGATCTACGGGGATGGGGGAGAGGGGGCTTTCGGACTGAATCCAACCCCCCCTCCCCCAAAAATGGTAAAATGTAACCATGTTTTACAGAAAAAACTATCTCTTAAAGTATTCTTGTTCATGTAATTATATTTAATAGGACTTCAAGAACCACTTAAACACCATTTCATATAGGTAATTAATTTCTTTATTTTTTTTCAGATTAATTATCGTTATATGTATATGAAAAAAAAAATCTTTCGGACTGAAACCCCCCAAAATTCAATCCTGGATCCGCTAGCGTTTAAGAGTAATTAAAAAAGTACACATTTTTTGTTGATTGTATCCACAATTGTTTAAAAAATTATTAAATATCCTACAAAACAAAAAAACTACGGTGTGTACTTTAGACCATACAATAGAAGTGAAAACGTCAACGATTAATAATGTGCAATATAGTTGTTTTTTTTTTTTTTGTTCAATATTCACAAAGTAATAACAGTTACAATTTAGGTAATTATAGTTGTATTGTATAAACTACTTTTGTTCTATATTCACATAATAATAATAACGACATATAGAATTATAATTGTGTATAAATTACTGTAGTAAACTTTGATGTGATAGATCGTCATTTGTATCATATGCCAGGAGGCAGCGCTAGGGGTGCCTGGTCCACTATGTAACATACTTTTCAAAACAGATCACGGGCGGATCTACGGGGGGGGGGCTTTCGGGTTGAAGCCCCCCCCCAAAATGGAAAAATATAACCATGTTTTATGGGAAAAATAATTAAAAAATACCTCTTAAAGTATTATTGTTCGTGTAATTACGTTTAAAAGTACTTAAGGAATAACTTAAACATCATTTCATATAGGTAGTTAGTTTTTTTCTGTTTTTCCAAAGTAATCATCGTTATTTTTATGAAAAAAAAAGGTTTCGGGCTGAAGCCCCCCCCAAAATTAAATCCTGGATCCGCTAGTGAAACAGATTACCGTCTACCATCCCATTCAAGGGTTCCTTATCTTCAAGAAAAACCGCCAGATTCTCTGAACGATATTCCAAAATGGAGTTACATAATTCTTCCTTCCAAAACTGAAAAGCATTATTGTGAAGAAATCAAAGTGGATAAATTTTGAAATCTTGATAGTTCGCTTGATGTTGGGTTTAGAAAAAATGTTTAATAATTTTAGACTGTTTAAGATTTAATATAACCATTTTTATTCATGTTTATCTAAAAAGGAGATATTTAACATAAACCAAAAAAAAATTCGAAATTTCAAGCTTATAAAAACCTTAAATATGCAATTTCACTTTCATTTTTCTTTTCGTTTTTAAGCTAGATTGATAACACACACACACACACACACACGCACACACCCACACACGCACACACGCACACGCACACGCGTGTGCTTGTGCGTTATGTCAATTCAAGTAAAAATACCTTATGATTGTGTGTGTGTGTCACTATATTATATTCACCAAATCAACACCCTTCCAGAGACTTAATATCATCTTACTTAACTTAATTTACCAAAGTTAAATACCGTTATTTTTATGAAAAAACAAGCTTTTCCGCTGAAGCCCCCAAAATCAAACTCCATCCTGGCCCCGCAGAGCACCGTTATCCTAATATCCTAAACAGGAAATCCGACACGTTAAACATTACAATGATAATTCCACGAAAAATTAACACATTGTACCCTAATAAATCAATACAAGCTTTGGTATAATTTTGGGTTCCAAACCAACAGATGATGGTACGAAATGAATCATGCCAAGCCCAACCAATAATACTCACTATACCTCACCACCACACCCAACCAAAACACAACAAAATAAACAAACACTTCACCCATACCAACACCTTCACAAAAATAATGAAAGTATGGTAAAAACAAAAAAATAGATGCAATGTAAACTATTGCACTACGTCATGAATAAATGTATCCAAAATTATTCTTCATACACAACTATATACAGCCCTCAGACTTACATTAAGCAAATCAATAAGAGTTGAAACAATTTAATAATGCGAGAGGTTTCAGTAACACCAAATATATAGACCTAACTCCATACACCACTACCTCCCCAAACCAACAATAAAAAGAGAAAAAACAATAAGGTGGAAAAATCAGTATATCACCCTTAATATCTAGCGAGCTCATAACAATACAACACCCAGCAAACACGCAAAAACAGTAAACAACTTAACCACAGACTGAATAAGATAAAAAAAAAACATCACCCACAAGACCCCACCCACCAATACATAAAACAACCCACGACATTCACTATTAATAACTACAAACATAAGACAATGGAAGTTCACGACAATCTGTTACCACAGAACCACAGCTCCATAACACATCCCCCAAAACATCATCTCTATAACAGAAAACAATAGCCCCAACATTACAGAGCCAGTATAAAACTATACACATCTGGGTATCTAAATGATTTACTTCATCTTGGGTACGGATCACCATGATAGATCACAGATACAATCCCAATAATCCCACAAAACATATCACACACAACCTATCTCACACATACTTAAAAGTAATTAAGTCACACTGAATAAATTACAAATTTATTTTTTATTAATTTGATAAGGTGAGATAATTCCAACTTTGTTGCTTTTTACAATGCTACCTCTAAACATGGATAGTTTTATATCATTAATATCAACATTTTCTCATAATTTGCTGATATAGATAGTTTAGGAATAGATCAATTACAATCTGAAAACCAGTGAAGCAGCAAAAAGGGAAGGTCAATAATAATAAGAAAAAAAAAATACGATACTAAAAACTTATATTTAACATACAAATAAAATGGTAATGTTACAGTTACAATAATTTAATTTATTTCTATGTCTATTAACGTCCATTATGTGGTGGGCTGTATATGATCTGTGTTCGATTAGGAGTGTAATTAAAACCTGGTTGTGGAGGCTGAACTCCACCAAATCCTTGTTGTGGGGTCTGAAGGCCTCCGTATCCTTGTTGTGGAGTCTGGACTCCTCCGAATCCTTGTTGCGGTGTTTGAACTCCACCATAGGCTGGTTGTTGCGGTGTTTGAACTCCACCATAGGCTGGTTGTTGCGGTGTTTGAATTCCACCATAGGCTGGTTGTTGAGGTTGTACACCACCGTAACCAGGTTGTAAATTACCATAGGCAGGTTGAGGGAGTTGAACATTACCATATCCAGGTTGAGAAGGAACTCCAGAATAAGGAGGTTGTGGTACACCGATATAAGGTTGTGATGGAGCCCCATTATAAGGAGGTTGAACAGGATAGGCTGGTTGTGCTGGTAGGATCATTGATATACCACCCAAATTATCTCTAAAACAAAAGAAATAATATTACTTTTGTGACTTATGACATATGAAGAGTTTTATCAAATTGAAATAAGAATTATTTTAGTCATAAACATGTGATTTTATAAATATGATACATCTGGATATCCTAATTTTAAATATTGTTTTGACCTGAGACTTAATAAATTTATACTTCCACTCACAATCAGTGTAAAAACCATTCTATCTCTAAATTTTTTTCAAAACAGTTATTTTGTCACCTATCTGAGGCAGATGAAATATGTGTAATGTAATAATCAATGAAATGAATTTTTCAAGATTTAAGTGAAAATAGTACAGATTTAAAATAGTACAGATTGAATTCAACGCTTCAATTGATTCGAAAATATGATTTTAAAAAATCTTATTGTTATCATTGTCAATTTGTAAAGCTAACTGTTGTATAAAACTATCAAAATGTTTCCAGTTTTATTGAAGTGATTTTCGGTATGAGTTTGGGGTAATGAAGAATGCTTGGCTGTTTTAGAAAAAAATGTAGTTAAGCATAGATTTTTGGAATTCTGCACTAATGATAACTTCAGTAAATCAATAACAAATTATTTTCAGCTTTCATAGTTTTATCAATTGAGGTGTTTAATCATAAAACCAACCATATTTATGTTTATCTTAAGTAATACTTCCAGATAGCTTTACACTATATAATAGATTAAACTTTTTTTAGAAAATAATCCTATTCCCTCATGATAATGGATTAGTAAAACTACTAATTAAAAATATTAAAAAAATGGATGATTTTGGAATTTTTTGTCTCAATTCTAATGAGTAGATGAACTACATAATTTATTTTGTTAGTCATACAACTTTTTCTGTACTTCTTGGCTCAAATTTTACCTCTGGGCCAAATTGATTACAATTGATCTCATTATGGTCAGTTAGGTACAAAGAACAATATAATTCTGTTATATATAGGTAATATAATATAATAAAATAATAGATCCAATAACATATTCCTATCATTTTCTTTGCCTTTGTATATTATGTAAATTGACAGTTATCATAATATTTGTATTATTTGATGTTTTACTTCATATTGTTCTGGCTTATATAACTTATATAAATTTTTAAAAACCATTCATATTTCTTAACTTCTACATATTTTTTATGTAACATATTTCTCTATACCTCATCCTTATATTTATATCTCATTATTTCACTTATCATTTCTCATATTTCCTATAAGTATTCTTTACTTATATTTTTGTATCATTTGCTGCTATTTTATATATATACTATTTATTTTTCTTATTTTAATATATTTTTTTATGGTTGTATGTTGTTTTGCTCAGGCCTTATGAAGGTCTGGCTGAAAACTTAGTCTGAAAGACCAGTTCACATGAAAGAATTATTGCGTTTTACAGTGTGTTTTCTTTCCTGGGCACAGCCTCCAAACAAAATAACTCCAATTTCTCTAACTATAGTTTTATTTCTCCTAGAGTTTTTCTTATTTATTTCTATGGTGATTTGAATAAATTTAATATGAATTTTAATATCCACCTTCACATTTCAGGACTATAAAACCTTTACAAGAACTTAAGTGAAAACGTTTTGTTTTTAAATAAATAGTTTAAGACTCAGAATAAAAATGAAAAGTAAATAGAATGAAATTCAGCAATAATTTTTTATTAGAAATTAAAAGACAGGAAAGGCTTGAAAGCTTGTAAAACATAAATTTCTACTTAACAAGAAAATGAATTGGTGAAATATTATTAGAAGTGATAGATTTTAGAGTGAGTAAGCATGAAGAAGAGTGAACTAAATGAACATAGAAAAATGATTTCAAAATCAGACATTTAAAGCTCCATACAAAATCAAGTTGGTAATTATTTCCATTTTCAATAGATCATGCATCAAAATAGTCCATCAAAATTACTATTGTTGAACATTGTGCAAGCCACACATATCATTGCCAATGTTTCATACATTGTGATTAATAAAACTCGTTATGTTAAAAGAAATATTTGTTAATATGAATTTAAAATGTATGGACCAGTATGGGTTAGTATTGTTGGATTCCACAATTCAGGCTGGCAAGCTAAAAGTTGAGACAAACCTTACCTACAGGTTAAGTTTTGCCGCCCTTGTTATTGGGTATCTGTTTCCGTCACAGATACCCCTCGAGTCATCTAGACCCAAATCAAGGATGGCAACACCTCCGAGACCTCTTGACTTAGCGTAAACAGCTTTTGCAGCTGCTGTATCAGGCTCTTCAAATCCGACCCATAGGCCTTCACTTTCTCCTGCTCTCTGGTCTGGTAATCTGAATGCGTAGGCACCCATTTTCCTTTCTGGATCACCAACTTTTCTTAGCATACCTGAAAAATTATTTTCCTTTTTGTTTTAAATCATAAAATCAATATATATAAAACGTTTAAAGCAACAAGCATAAGGTATTCTTTTAATAAGGAAGAAACTTAGAAACTAGAATTATGTTCGGTATATTATCAATGTTTTAAAAAGAGATTCTACTATCTAAGACATTGCCAAGCGTATTTTATTTTAATCATGACTACATCTTTTGTTTCATTGATATGTATTTTTAAATCTACTTACCATCATCAAAAATCATTGGTATATTAAATTTAATAGCCCCTAAATACCTTACTTTCAATCAATAATATTAATTTATTTCTTAATTTCACCACTGCTTTAAATATCTTCCATTACGACATATTAAGCTATTTTATATGAGAAAATAAAAATTACCAGCAGGAGCTGTTGGATTTGTTGGACTGACCAGTTTAATACACACTTCATAGTATGCGAGTAGTCCTGAAACAAAATAATGTTGGATTAATCAAACATATAATAATATATCTCTCAAAGAATTAAATATTCTGGTTAAATTTTGTTATTTATGTTTTGTTTTATTGAAACATACCGTTTATGTATATGGTTTTAAATTTTTTTCAGACTTAAGATAATAGTAGATATTGATATTTAACTTTTTCATAACTACCAAAGTAATTGATTTAGACTGTTACAATGCTGATATAATAGAATAATTTTTTTTTTTAATTTTTATTCTGGGATTGTGTCCCTTAAGAATAAGAGCTGTGTACAAAAAAAAATATTCTTTTTATATATTCATTTAGTACTAATATTAAAAAAAACATTAAAAAAACACAGATATTATTCTTTGAGTAAACAAAAAGGTATTTAAGAACATATATATGATTAAATCAGAAAATTATTATAAAAAAAGTCTGAACTTTTACATAACTTGAGATTTCTTGAAAAAAAAAACAACTGATTTTTTAGGATATTCAATTTTAGAAATTTAAATTTTTCTTAATTAACATTACTTTCACGATTCCTAACTTTCCTTCTTAAGATTTCTCTTCTTTGGTCGATTTTTTTTTTAGGCAAACATTTGAAAATAAAAAATCATGTTTGATCTTGTTAAACACATTAACAAGCTCATATTGTGTTCGGAAATGATTTTGAACTTTGTATGCCTGAACTTTCATAATCAATCAGATGATTGTTATTGAGCATCCCAGACATTATTTGTTCACTATATAAGTATATAATATAATTCCATAAACTAGTCTGTTTTTTTAATTTAATTTTTCTTCAAAAAATCAGTACATTTTTGATACCTAGAAGTTAAGTGTGTCATATTATAACATATTTAATCCCCATTCTACTTTATTAATATGGATACATACCGTCTGTCTTAGTGTGGGGTCCTTTCCCACCAGGTCCGTCAGCAATAACTGGAGGAGTACCAGATAGTCCTGATTCTTCATTTAGTTTCCAAGATCTTCCCCATGTAGCTATTCCAAGGTTCAATTTTTGAGCTAGAAACATTTTAGGAATAATATAAACCAATTGTAATAATGATCTTAGTAATAGCTTGTAAAAAATATTCTTCAAATCCATCAAATGAGTTTGATTAAAATTTAAAGAAGAAAGCAAACAGGGAATTGATGATTAATATTTTTAACATTCATTGAAAGTTGATATTTTACCAACAAATTTAGTAATATTTACTTGGATAATCATGAAGTGAGTTAACCAACATTAAATCACAAGAAATGATTTTTCAATGACTGAAGCCAAGTCAAGAAAACAAAGGAAGAATTTCCAGATTTCGAATGACTCCCAGTCTGAACCAATAATTTGTTTCAGTATTAACAATATTAAGCTTAAGCATCCCATAATTAGGATATGATGGGAAACCATCCAAGCTGTTTGATTTCAATGTTGTTTTGTCTTTTCTGAAAGTAAATTTCATTATCTAGCTTTTTGAATCTGTTGCGTCAAATTTGAAAAACAGTATTGAATACATTGAAGATTAGAAATTGAGGAATTTCTTGTTGGGTATTGAGTGTGATTACTTGCATATGGATACTTTCAGAAAAAATGCTGTACAAATCTTTTAACAGAGATATAGCAGGAAAAATCAGCTCTCTAAGTCATACAGACATACTTTTCTCTAATCAGCAATGTCCTGGAAAATCCTATTTTAAACCACCTAAAGTAGGTTCTTACAAGGATCAGTAAACAATATATCACAGTTATAGTAACGTTAATACAGTTCTACAAGAGAAAAGAGAATCACCAATCACCTGCTTCAAATAAATATAGTATAGATTTTTGTTTTTTTCAAAATGATTTTACCTTTTTTAATTTTTAAAAATATATCTTCACTGATGAAATTCATATATATTCTTTAATATTGATTAATGTAATTTTTGCCGAGATGTGCTTTTTATTTTTTGTTCATAATTGTTATTCTTAAGGGACCTCGTCCCAGAATAAAGTTTATTTTCTATTTCAATAGAGGATGGAGTAGTAGAAATACTAACATGAAAATTGACAATGAGTTGAAGAAAGTGCTTAAAGAAGAGGATTATTTCTGAGATCTACCTTTAATAGTGGAGCCAAATTAAACGATTATGCAGAATGTTGCTAGATGAATAAAATGGCTGCAGTAAAGATTGATTCCTGCGAGGAAAGATAGATAGGTCTCATCTAATAAATTTCAGCATTGAAGGTATCGGAATATATCTAAGCTGAGTGTCATTAACATTGGAATAATGATTGAAAGATGATTTAACATGAAGTCTCATTTTGAATATCTGGAATATAATAGGCATCTTTTATTAAATAGCCTTAGTCTACAGAAGGGATCCTATCAGGCCATCACATACCCAGTAGCCACTCTTCTAAAAGACGTCTTACTAGTGTGTGTCTCATGATGGAGTACTACTCTTTACTGTAGAGGTGCTTGACAACCTCTTCCGAGTATTTGATGACTTAATAAGAACTGTGGGTAAAAGGGTAAAGTTCCACCAGATATGCCAGAAAGTATGATTAGGACCAAATAAAATGAAAGATAATCTGAGAAAATATTACTAATGAGTGAACTGATAACTGAAGCCATAATAGGCTTTTAACGCTGGTATTAATCTCCTATCCTCTCCCATGAAATAAACATTTTTTTTTTGGAGCCAAATATTGAAATAAAGGAACATAGACAACATTTGTCAATAACTATGAATTAACAATTACAATTATAAGAGTTGACGCACTTAATAAACTGTATAGCACTAATAAACCTAAATTATCTAAATCCAAAAGCTTGACAACTTACGTTCAGCACCATTGTCCAACCAATGTCTTACGACAGCTTCAACATTTTGATGAGGTAGCCTTGGGTAAAGGAAAACTAGAGGATGAACATAGTCAGCTTTCTGTGGAGCTCTGTCTGGTGTCCTGAAGTCGACTGCCCATAGGTTCACCATATCAACATATGGCATCAAAGACCTTATATCCATGTAAGCTGCAATAAAGTAAAAAAAAAATATATATATATATTCGGGAATACATTTTGATAATTTTTAAAGTTCATTAATAATATTAATTATTTTTATGCATACATTCCTTTATATGTGAATTTTTCTCGATATGTAAATCTATGAATTAAAAAAAAAAAATTGAAATTACTTTGATATGAAATAGTTAGGTAATCATAGCAAATACGGAAAGAATAAAAGAAAAAGAAACAAGAAAGAATACATTTATAAACATAAGATAATTAGAAAAAGTTAGTGATAAATAATAAAATTTGTAAACTAAATTGAAGCATTGATTTTAAAAATCATAAAATTCTAAAATTGTCACATAAACAAAGGTCAAATTGCTTATCAAGCAAAGCTCTCTGATCCATAAATGAAGAAAACCTATTATTTAAGATTTCATTATGTATGGAAAAAATCACATTCACATTCACATTATAAACAACTGTCTAGAATGAAGGTGAAGGAAATTGAAACAGTAATAAATATGAATAATATAATGTCCTAGAAAATATTACAGTATATACATTGAGATACTTCCTTATTATTACAATATAAAAATATTAACTTACTCGTAGAATTAACATGTGGAAGAACACCAACTGAAAGCATTCTGCCCTCTGGTCTTAATTGAGCTTTAAGTTCTCTGCATAGAGCGACAAACTGATCTCTGTGTTCAATAGCTTTAGAATCAACACCAGCTCCAAACGTTTTCTTTATTTTGTGCCAGATTGATGCTTTGAAATAGAAATTATTATTATTTTTTAAATAGTTGATTTCATTATAAAAGAAATAATAAATGAAACTTATCAAGTTATAAAATATACTTCATGAAAGAAAAATTAAACAAAAGAATTTAAAAAAAATACTTATATTTAAATTTATATTTTATATATGTACAATGAACGTTTTATAAGTTATAGCTAAAAATAATATTTAAAGGAGGGGATTATTACCAATAGATGTTTTTTCATATTTCTCATGTTGAGGAGGGAACTGCCAAGCTAGATCAACACCATCAAATTTAAATTCGCGGAGGAGAGCAACAACTGTGTTGATGAATTTGGTCCGTCTTTCTGGTTTTTCAAGCTGTAACAATCAGAAATGTAATTAAAATTATTTCAAATTATATAGTATTGAGGTCTTAGGGTGTGCCAATATTGCAAAAAGAGTAAGATCTCACTTTTTAAAAATAATTGCCAAGAAAAATCATGAATATTATACAGGTTTAGGAGATGTTAGGTGGGATTGCAATAAAAAATGAATAGAAAGTTCATAGCTGTTTGGATGTTTGATATTATTATAATGTTTAAGCTTTCTAGGTTTTATTTTTTATTTTAAATTATAAATGTTTCACAACTTTTAAGTAGAGAACATATTACATACCATATATGATACTATAACTAAAGTTATTATTATTAAATGAAGTTTATTATTATATTTTAACCCTTAGTTATTTCATTTTTGTATTTTAACGACGATTTGGGCAATTTTGCCCATTTTAAAGTCAACAATGATATCCATAATATAAATAACATTATAAATATATACAAAAAAAAAAATACATAGCAGCATATCAAACAATAAAATAGAAATTTATAAATATCACCATTAATGAATTACACTTATATTTGCAACTGATACTTGTATAATCCACAAAAAAAATTTATATTATATTTTGCCTCAGAAAATAAAACAAATTCTTTAAAATTTAAAACATCTTATATAAAAAAATCCAAAATTCTTTTTCAAAATTTAAAAGAAAAACATATACAAAACATCTATATATAATATACTATATATTAAATTAATAACTTATTTAATATTGCTTATTATATAATTTAGTTTTGGACTACTCTCAGGTAAATTATATACTAAACAATAATAAATAAGTTATTAATATAATATATAGTATATGTTTGGCCTTTTTGGATTTTTTGAAATAGGACGTTTTAAATTTTAAAGAAATTTTTGTGATAAAATATAATATAAAAATTTTTTGTGAATTATATAAACATAATTTTGTAAATATAAATATTTATAGTAAATGGTAATATTTATAAATTTCTATTTGATGATATGTAATGTTATATGTACATTTATAATAATGTTATTTATATTATGGATATCATTTTTGACTTGAAAATGGGCAAAATTGCCCGAAGCGTCATTAAAATACAAAAATGAAATAAAATTTTATTAAGTAAATAAGAGTTAAACTATTTATTCCTCGAAATAATAAACTTCATATAGGTTTATATAAATTGCCTGGATACAGAAGGCCCAACAATGTTCATTTACATCTTGGCGTTCAATGCGACGGAAAAGGAAGCACTCATAGTGGATACCACGATCAGATTTGAAACCAGTGATCAGGATCAGGATGTCAAGGTGTAGGCAGAGAAAGAAGAAATAATATATGAAACGCAGACCTTACTTGAAGGAAAAGTACAGAGACGAATTCGGTGAAAGGGAATACTTAGTTAAAGGGAATACTATGGTTCGGAAGCAGTTGGAGCATCCCTTGCTTGGTGTTGGAAGGGAGCAGATACAGACTATTTCAGAAACAATTATTTTAGACTCGTTAGGAATCCTCCATCCCCACATATATTGATCTAGGCCTTCATTTATTTGGTTCTATGAACCATTCTTGGCATGTCTGATATTTATTCCAATAGTCCTAACTCTCTCTTATATTTTATACAGTATTATCGTTTGATTGATGATTATGCTGTGTTATTTAGTAACTAAGCGCAGTTGAGCAGCTATGCAATGTTGTTGTATTTCTCCTGCTAAATCTAATTTGTACATTATAAAAATAATGTCCTTACCACTTCAAAGTACTTCTCCTCATCTTCGTGATCTTCATAACCGCCCACAGACAACAGGATTGAGAGACCTGGCTGTGATTGCTTCAAAGATGCTACAGCTCTCCATTGTCCCTTACCTAGAAAAGCCAGTGTTTATTTTATAATATTGCGATTGAATCATGTTGTAGATAAATATGATACGAATGTATTATTTTATGATCAATTATTTTTATTCATAAATCTGTAATTGAATCTGAGGTCTATTGGTTCATTATTGGACTCTTGTCTTTTATATTTATATTGTTTATTACGATTGATTTTTTATTCAGCCATATAAATCAAGTTGCTTAGCTTTACTTTTCATTATTATTTTACACTTTATCACTGTTTCTGATTTAGGCCAAGAAATATCCCCCAGAAAGAAATATACTCCCAGTTACAGGGATCACAAAGGGGCAATGTACAGCCAGTACACAGTAAATGAATTTAGTTGAAGGATGTTGCATTCTGGTGTTTTAATTCTATAATGAAATTATAGATAAAGGAGCAAGGGGAGCGTGATGGGATAGTGTGCAAAATATGTGCTGCCGAGCAAACTGATAAATGGAAGATTACCAGTTCAAATCCCGATGTCATGGTGAAAGGAGGGAGCTTTTAACTGTCAGATTAATCTCCCACCATCTAACCTAATAAAATAAAAATGAAAGAGCCATGCTCCTGACTGGAAAAAAAAAATAAACAACAGACTTCCATCTATGGGTGGTAAGGCCGCTAGTCTCAGAGGACCGTGTCCAAAAATAATAATAATAGTAAAAATCAAGTGATCATTTAACTTAAGCTTTATGTAAGGCATAGATCTAGATCAGAATTTCAGAATATATTAGGGACCTAACCTTCCATAATATTTGGAATATTCAGCCAACAAATACAAATTATCTATTATTGTATGAACAAAGGTTAGGGTTCAAGTTTGATTCTCCAGCTGACATTAATTCTGAACTACTTCAAAAACATAATGTGGTTAAAAAACGAACAAAAAATATACTAAATTCTGTGGTAAACTAGTTAGATTAAAGATAAGTTAATTGTTTCTATTAAAAAATGTTGCCTTGGTTTGTGGATTTAAAAATGAAAATGTCAAGAAAGGTGGGTTTGAATAAAGAAGAAGAAATACTCGGAACAAAACGTATTTTTTTTTCTTGTAAAATTATGAGGTTCACCTTGACCGCTTATGCCATGAATGCTGACAGCGATTTGTAGCTTAGACTTTATTTATTTACTTTTTTCTTGGTTCTAGTTAATGTAATATCTTTACGATTATTGATAAATATTACATCTAGCTCTTACCTTTATCCAAGTCTAGTTTCTTGTCAATTGGTTCAATATGATATTCATCATCATCAATGGCAGCGAATCCATATATCAAGTGAGTACAAAGGCTAGCTCCTACTTTGATATCTTCAACTGTTACTTTTGCTGTACCTAAAAACAAAAGGAAAATATTATATTATTAGGTAAATTTAACTGTTTAATAGATATTTAAAAGCATTTAGCAATTTCTTATTGTCAATCAAATGTCAAAGTTGTATTATATTTATTCGGAACGTAACAGATAAATATATTATGCTAACTCTACTATATTTTTAACATATAAAAAACAATCGATTCTTGTAAGAAAGAAAGGTTTTATCTTCACTTCATCGAACGTCGAGAATACTTCCGCAGTGGCGAGCCGGTAGGCCATCGTTTTCTTCTAAGGGCCCAAGATTGAAGTATTATGATTCGTATTTAAACTAATATGGTAAAATATGAAGCCATCAGCAATTTAATGAAGAAAAAACCTTGTGAGAATTAATAAGTAAACCAAAACTGAGAAGCATACCTGGCAGGATGTATCAGAATTAACATATCTATAAAAACATTACTTTAAGTTTAACGGAACGGTTAATTATAAATTAGGAACTATTATAAATATTTGGTATATTATTGAAAGTGTTAATAATACGTTTGACTAGAAGAGTACCTAAATAGAAAAATGTGACTTTAGGATAGTGGATGTATCTTCCTGAATTTTCCTTATTTACTTTGAAGTTTGACTAAAGATGTGGATATTAAGGTTTATCGAACAATTTTCCGGTCATTATATTGTAAACTGTCGATAATCTTTTTTCTCTCAACATCACATCTTCGACGACTTGTATAGAGGGTTCTGTAAATTGGGTGAAACTATCTTTTCTTGTGTGCCAGTAATACTTTCTTTTTTTTTTATATGTATTTTTTTTTCAAGAGGAAGTTTTTAGTTATAATCTATCTAGATTGTAGATATCCTTTTTTAAAGAAAACTTTAGAATACATTGTCTACTTTTATTCCAGTTTTTTCTTCTATAGAAATAAAAGTCTGTGTAATATATATTATATAACCAAAAAATGTTTTTTGTTTAGGTGTTCATATTTTGATGGAAGCGTGAAATCAGTCATTGCTACAGGTATGTTTAGTTTGATTTACTCAAATGTATTTTCATTTATATAAAATAATTTTTATTCAAATTAAGTGCTACAAATATTTCAATTAAGTTTTATTATAGTTTTCTTATAATAATGAGATTTATCTAAGTTATTGAATGCTGACATAACATTAATTACGTTCAGAAGTTCGATATAACGAAATTTGGAGCTGTCTCAACATCCTGCATCCGCAGTGTTCGAACAGGCCTTCTTTATAATGCACTGAGCCATTTGTTAGGCGATTGGCTGAAGTTGAGCCATCAATGAACACCCGACTCCATTGGCCAGCTGGATAAGTGGTATAATGTTTTTCGAATACTAGCGTTCTCAATACGGAACCTGTTTCATTCTTCGAGTTGAGTGAAGCTAAGAATCACCATATGAGAATTATCTCAAAAATTATACATGTTGAGAACAGACTGCTAGAAAAATTATGTCTTTACATAAGATTCTTGACTAGTGAGTTTCTGCCAAACCGAACGATGTATCGTCCATTTCTTTATGGGAATCTCAAGGTAGCGCCATTTTAATACAGTTAACCTCTCCTTAAATACTTTAAATACTGTTAACCTCTCTGTTAAATAATTTTGTATTTCATCATTAGTAATTTTCTATGAAAAATCAGTTGATATAACACTTTCAGGATATTAAAAATCAAAACAAAGGAAATAAGCTTCGCAGTAGAAAATATGAAAACTATTTAGAAAACCATATATCTTTGCATCAAACTGACCGATTTCAACGATTTTTAAAAATATATTTTAGGAAATTTTGTCAACTTTTAAATGACCATATACATCAACAAAAAATTGTATACTTTTTGAGTTATTCGGAAATCTAATTTTATGACATTTCATAACTTTTTTTGCGGCTTCTTTTCATTGAAGTATGTTATATAGATAAAATTTAAGGGTTTTAAAAGAGAAGTATTTATCCAAGTTTCAATGAAATCAGCCGCTACAGCATATACGACACAGGTCTTTCGGCAGCCATCTTGAAAGGGAAGCACTTTTCTGTGAAGTATGTTCTAAACTGTTACTTAAAGGACATCAAGTAGAAGACTTTAACCAAGTTTCATTGACATCAGTACATTCGTTTAGGCGCTACAGTCTATAGCAACATAGGTTTTTCTGCCGCCATCTTGAAAATAAAAGGCGGATAGTAATGCCGAGATGGGAGGAAAATCCTCGTGGGACCTCTGACTTTGATTCCAAATTTGAAAAAATCGGTCTCTGAGAAAACGTGAGGACGGCGGACAGAAAACATTTTTTTATTTGGTTTTTGAGTTCTAAGTATCCTGAAACGTAAAACCTCAAATTTTGAATGGAGTTAAGTTTTAGAATTTTTCGGACGATTAAATTGGTTCGTTATTGAAAATAATAAACCAAAAATATTCCTCATGATGCAGCCGACACCTCGATAATTGAATAGAGAACTATTTTTTTTTTTTCAAAAATAATAAGCGACTATTGTTGTTTTTGGTAACTAATTGTTTCTTTGAATAGCTTGTTAAGGTGTTCACTGAACTCATTACTGTTTAGTGAATAGTGAATAGTGAATAGCGAATAGCTTCCAGCCCTCTGGACTTGAACAAGAAGAACTTGAAAATTACCTTCAATCACATCCCACATCCGCCTCCTATAAAATCCTCTCTAAATATAATAACAGTAGCGTCGATATTGTCATTATCGATTATCGATATTGTAGCTTTGTACTACGAAGTTTTGAAGGAGTTGATTAAATGATCGTAAGGATATAACTATGACTCAGAGCATATAATATACATATAAAGCTTGACAAAGAGATATATGTATGTTATTGTATGTACTTATATATGCAATTGTTGAAAAATAAAATGGAGGATCAGGAAAAATAAATAAAAATAATGATCTGAATTTCAATTCTCTATCTTAAAAAATAAGATGTTATCTCCGACATTCAGAAAATAGGCCAGAAATGACTGGACTAATTGAAAAACTCCTACGCCCAAGGACGTTCCTGTTAGAAGCTAATGTTTGCATAGGACACAAAAGATCTAAAGGATCTTTCAATTAGACACTTTATTTCTCTGGTTACGCTGTGTTTCGCAATCTCTGTTTCGCATGGAGAAAAATTATTCCTTTTCGCGATTTCGGATAGAAGTTTTTAGTTCTTTGCTCAAGAAATAATCGATGCAGTTAATTTAATTTACACAACCTATAGCATCAATAATTAATTTGTTGAATATATTATTATTTTTTGTTAAATGGGCGTTCCGACCTATTTACTCAAAGCCGTAACTGATTCGATTAATTTATATTCTAAATTATAAGTTGTTTTTAACGATTGAAAATTTTGTTATTATATAATAGTAACAAAGGCGTAGAAGTCTTTTAAAAGCAATGATAAATGGTCGAATTGGCGAAGAGTTCATGACACGATCTATTCATAGTTTATTATGAATTGTCTATTGCTTTGAATCATCTAATTATATTTTTATGATAATCAGTGACATACATACAGAATTAGAATGTTTCGAAGAAGGAGTGAAGCGCGATTTATATTTCAGTGATAGCAATATAACCAATTGTTTTATTGAAACATTATACGCTATTTTTAGTGATGCAAAATAATTAATTTCAAAGAAATATATCTTTTACATTTTAGATAATTATTTTTTGTATTATCGAATTAATTAATTTTTATATTAACCATTAATGTTCATTAGAAATTACTTCAGAAATGAAGTATTTAGGTACATTTTTTAAAGTTTCTTTAATATGCTCTTATGCTGATGAAGTTGTTTTATTAGTAAGTTAGCAAATAAAAACAAGTAATCATTATATTAAATGAAAATAAAAAAAAATTGATGTCACTCGGTGAACCAGAAAAACTATAAACTATTTGAAAATTTATCAATCAGAATTACTTATAGATGCAACTTACTAATTAAAAATGATAGATTTATATAATTTTATTTCTCTTCTATGAACGTGGTATATTGTTACAGTAATAAGCAAAGTAAAAAAAATAAAATAAAATTCATGACAAAGCAGAATTAGAAATAATAAATGGATAGTAGATATTACGTTATCGTAGCTTTCTTTAGCTGAGTTTATAGCTTAGTTAAAAAATAATATAAATTGATCCAACATCCTAACTATAATATACAGGGTGTTTCAGGGTTAACTGGCCAAAATTGAAAATATGTATTAAGAATTCCAAAATAAGAAAAAAGTTTCCTATGAAGGTATGTCCGCAAATGCTTTGTTTAGGAGATATTCACACCTAAAGATTTTCATTGTTATTAATTATTTACGTTATATTAAGTAAATAAAACTTATTTATTTGTTTCAACTACTTTATTAATTAAACGTAAATATAAAATTCATATTAAATGTTGTTCAAAGTGATTTCCTTGAGCGTTAAAACAGGCTTCAACATCAACAGTGGCAGAACGTCACCGGATATGTGTTATTGTTTCACAAGATTCAATTATCCTTCTTTGTAAGGAATTAAGTTCATTGACCGGACTTGCATAGAATTTTTGTTTAATGCCATCCCAAACGAAAAAATTCAGTGGTGTCAGGACTGAAGAGCATGCAGGCCAAGCCACTGGTTCTGCACGGCCAATCCATTGATAGGGATAATTAACATTTAGCCATTGTCGTGGATCTCTTCCGTAATGTGCAGTACTACCATCTAATTGAAGCCCTTCTCAATGTCCCTTCTCAATTATAGTGAAATATTTTCTACTAAATCATAATAATCATTATTAAGAAATGCCAGAAATGTGCCCGCATTGAGTGGAGGCTGCAAGAAATGCGGACTTATTAAAATATTGTCTATTATCCTCAACCACACAAATTAATTAACTAGTTAGAACAAATAAATTGGTTTTATTTATTTCATATTACGTAAATAATTTACAACGAAAATCTTTAGGTGTCTGCGTTAAAACAAAGCGTTTGCGGACATACCTTCAGAGGAAATTTTTT